CATTTGTGTCATTCCTTTCAGCCCCCTCATGTGTTTTATTCCCCTAGCTTCCCCATTCTTCCAGTGTTCCCATATGTCTCATTTTCCTGGTGTCCCCATGTCTCTAATTCCCCCACCCCCTGCATGTGTCTAATTCCCCCAGTGTCCACATGTGTCTCATTCCCCCAACATCCCCAAGACTATCATTCCCTCTGCCCCATGTGTCTCATTCCCCACCAACTTCACAAAGTGTCCCCATGTGTCTCACTATCCCCGCACTTCCATTCATGTATCATTCTCTCAATGTCTCCATGTCTTCCTTTCCCAAGTGTCCCCATGTGTCTCTGTAACGGATCACCTGGTACCCCGACTGGGTACCTCTGTTGAAGGATGCTCCTAGCGCTTCCTGAGGACTCCAAGCACTGCAGCAGACATCACAACCACCGAACCGGAGAAGCATATGAATGCTCTCAAGCATATGAATGCTGTAAGCAGCTGAACAGGAAAAGCATACAATCAGCTTACACTCCTGGCAATCAGCATACAATCCAATTCCCCCAATAACGAGATGACACTTCGTTTTGAGGTCAAGCAGAACTGACTGTACTGACACATACAGCCTCTTTTATTCACAATCCACAAACATAGTACTGCCCACAGGGTTTTGAAATACAACCAATCAATCCGTACAATACACACAGACACTCCCACACAAAATCCTCCCCTCTGCCTGTGATATGATTACTGAACACAATGGTTAATCTAATTATCACAGGCGGAGAAATACAGTATCATAAAACACATCACAGGGACTCCAAAACATGCAATAACCCCGTATATCATTGGAACCGGGGGATCTGGGTGAACCACATATCCAAAATTCACCCAGATCCGTTCAGTAGTTTGGAAGATGCAGTTTAATGCAGATTCCGCAGAACATATACAGGCTATATGAAAAATAATTACTGTATAATGTGTCCCCTGTTGTATAGTTTAAAACTACTGAAAAAAATAAAAAAATAAAAATAAAACTACTTATGTCCTCGTGCTCCAAATACTGGCGAGATGGCACTGTGTAGAAAAGTCCAAACAGTGTCTGTGAGTTAAAATGGCCGCCATCCATTGTTCTCACCATGTGCTTCATCCATTGTTCTCACCATGTGCCTCTGATACATGAAATGGTGGCCACCCAGTAACTCCACAGTATGTCCTCAGATGGTTCTTAAAGGGCCAGCAGCAGCATAATAAAATACAATATTCCCAAATACTGTATTTAAAGGGCCAAATCTCCCAGGGGCCATAGTCAGCAGGCAGGAGGCGGGCAAACAGGCTTCTCCAATGCCCAGTGGCAAGGTTGGTTTTGCCACAGTCTCATTCCCCCAGTGTCCCCATCTGTCACATTCCCCAGTGTCCCTATCTGTCGCATTCCCCCTGCCCCCATATGTCTGCTCTTCCCATGTGCCAGCTCACCTCCTTATAGCATAGCCAAGCTGACGGTCGAGAAGAGGAGCATGTTTCGCTTCACCTTGTCTGATAGTGAGCACACTTCGGTTCCTGTCAGATTGGGTAGAGGGTAACATGCTCCTCTTCTTCAGTTCACAGCTCAGCCACGCTACGTACAGAGACTGTCAGGAAGGGAGCTCTGTGCAATGCACTCCCCTCCTGCCGGTCACCAGGATAATGCGCCCCCTGGGCTGGTGACCCCGAGGTGGCCGACTGTGCTGTGTTATGGTAACGCCGACCTAAAAAGTGCTGCGAGTAACATCGGACCCTCTAAAGAGCCGCGTGCATCTCACAAGCCACCGTTTTGCCATGTCTGCTATATACCTTAATTTTGGAAGTGGTTACATAAATTGTAAGACCTTAAAGAGATTGTGGATCTTATCTATATAAAGATAATTTAATAATGATGATAATTGCAAAACTACTTGGCTAGCTAAGATCTGTAATATAGCTTCCAAAGCTTCCCAGAATCATTCCTAATTAATCTTCTTTAACTAAGAATGATTACTGATAGGCAGGCTTACATCTCCATCTCTCAACTTATTCTCTCGTTTCTCCTCTCTCTTTTTTTTTCTAGTCTCCTTTTCCTCCTTTTTAGTTTTCTTCCTACATTCCATTCTCTTTAACTATTGGTACAGGCAACCTGTTAATCTCCATGATAAATACATTTATTTTCTGCCATTAATATTTTATATTTCTTTATGACCTGAACAACTATTTAAGCTATAACAATTAAAAATAAAATAAAACATAATATATCTGAAGCATTAAAAAAAAAAAACTATATTTAAAATTCTGTTAAAGTACTCTTTCAGTTACCATCATAAACTATTCTCTCCAGCCATGCCTCAGCCCAGACATATTGATCTATATTTTCCACCGAACAGTCTACGTGGTTGTCAGGTATCCGTGGGAGGGAAGGGTTAAGACGCACAGCCATTGCTTATCAACGAGGCAGACGAAAGGATATGACTCACAAATGCATCGAAAGATTTCTTGACCATAAAAGAATTACAGACTCTGTTGGCCACAGGCAGCAAACTTACTTATGTGTAAGAAAATGAAATTGCAGGTTGCTGTACATCGTAGATACTGTTTTTTTAACCTTTTATCCTAACTCTTCTTGTTGCCTAAAGGTGGATAATCTAGTGTCGGCAGAGCTTGTGAAATGTGGCCAGACTGCAGAATTTCGAGGTGAAGATTCACCGCTATCTTATCACATCGTTTGAAAATCACAATGTCCACTGACACTTAACATGTCGCACGTGTAGGCAAAATCTTTCATTGTAATACCTTTCATCTGGATCTTTAACATTCTGTTTTGTTTTACCAATGTCCTGACTCTCTCACCAGTGTTCTAACGATGATCTCAAGCACGTAAAAAAAAAGATATTAATTACTTGACTGAAAATACTACAAATAAACTAGTAACATTATAAGCACCATAATTACTGCATCTCTCTGTGGTGGTTTTGATGGAGAAAGTCAATAGGAGACATCCAACATTTTTTTTCAACTCTACCCACCACCACTTCCAGTCCATCACAGCTTTCCTGATTGGGCAAAAATGAAACCAATAATGCAGAATTGTATTTGTCAAACGGTATTTGTCAATATTTGTCAAACAAATCCCCTAAGTTATTGATACAAAAAAAAGACAGACAGACTCTTTATTCATAACCTCTAACCTGGTTGTAATGATTATGTTGTATAGAGTGCCCCTTTAATTTAATATCTTCATATTTATTGCAAGAGTGGGAGTGTAGGGTCCCCTAGTGGGCACATAGCATATTAAGGGGTTGTCTCCTTGAAAAGAAGTATACTAAATAGTTACATTGTAGGCAAGGAGGTGGGGCCTCTTCTTACCTTATTAAGGACCTTCCAGCTTGTCAGTTCCTCTGTCCCTGGAATCCCTCTCCAGTTCCCTGTCTCCTGATTCCCTCCCCATTAATTGTTTTTTTGGTCTGGCACTGAGTTTCTCACCTCTCCTTAATGGGAGTGGTCTTAGTTGGTAGTGGCAGGGTCTGTTTAGATGAACTAGCCCTTTGAGTCCTGGCCTTGTAATTTAGTGGCTCCTGTGGTGGCTGTCGGTTGTGGGTAGGAATATATCTCTATTTTTTCTCCTGCAAGAGTGTGATGCAGAGATGGAGGACAGGAGTGCCGCCAGTTGTCTGATTCCTCCCTACAGGTGCTGGGGTGCCCTTCCAACCCTTTTGGAGGAGGTGCTGGGGTTGAAGACCTCACCTGTGGTCTATTATGTAAAAAATGGGTGCTCTGCTTCAAGTCCAGGGATGAGTTGCATCTACTTGTAGTCTGAAACATGAAATTAGTTAATTTTATAGTTATTTATTGCTATTGTTGGTTAAAAATTTTGGTTGCATTTTCTTACCAATAAAACAACCGTGATGGCTTTCCTTTTAAATTATTCCAAGTTAGAAACACATGGGCCTGATGTATCCATTAATGAAGTTGCAGTGACCGGACTGTTTTTTGCTGAGTAGCCAAAGACAACCAATAACAAAATGCATCACCTTTCACAATATAATAGCCCTGTTAAATGCTATAACTGACAGACATTATTCAAGTTGCAACATATAATGATAATATAAATAATGGAATAATCTACATTAAGGAGAAGTTGCAAGTACGTCAGTTTAATTGTAGTTCATAAATATCTTAGCACGAGGGAGTCTGATAAATAGCCTGGCTCCAGTACGCCAGAGCATCTCTGTTTGCTGAGGTTTCACTACGTTCATTCCATCACACGCCTTCGGCTCCAGTTTGTAACGGAACAAGCGCTGGTCAGCACTTCTCTTTAGTGGCTGGTTAGAAGTACTTACAGGCTCAATGAAGCTTACATTTCCCATAAACAAAAAACATTTTGGCATTTATACAGCTCAATCAGCCTTAAAATAAGTCATGCCTACAACGTGCCCGTCCTAGATATATTTGTTCCTCTGGCACTGAACACAGAAAAAAAAATGGAAGTTATATATGACGGTACTTTCAATCAGTTCATAAAATGGAGGAAACATTTATGCATTTGAAGAAGGCTCCAAGCGTCACACATACTGTACGGAAGCAGTTTCTACAGCTCCGCACTGAAATGTGACTGCCCATAAAACTCAAAGATTGTCTGTGATATAGTTCATCTCCCACCCTTATGCTATAGCAGGCAATCTTCACATGACACAAGCATTTTTACAGAAGCTGGAAATTGCAACATCTCCGAACTACTAGTCGTCATCATTCTCAGCTTTTAGATAGCAAACAATATATCTGTCTGGTAGCAGACGGATTCATCAAACACTGGTGATTTTGCCTTGGGGTGTGTAGTTTGTAGCAAAATTTTTACAGATTAAAATTATACTGACAGTACAATGTCAGAGAAAAATATTCATTGTCTAATCTAGACACAGATCGAGTAGGCATTGATTTTTTTAAATAAACATTTTTGAAATATATATTCTTCATTTAAGTGCATTTTTCATAGAATTAAACAGTAGATTAAACAACATGAATGAAGATACAAGCAGGAGAGAGAGGAGAATTTGAAGGCAGTGAGAGATGGCTGAGAGTTTATTTATATATGTTTAGTGAAGTCACTTTTTGGCTAAAAAAAGTTGTTCTACTTTCTAAGATATATATTTGTAAGGGTTGTTGTTGATGACTGTGTTTTATGACTTGTGATAAGGAGGCTGGGGACAATGCCGTGGTTTAGATTTTCACAATATTTTGAAGTTTAAGGGAACACTGGTTTAAGTTTTTATACATTCAGGATTATTAAAGGGATCCTATTGTGTCAGGAAAACAAACCTGTTTTCCTGGCACTATAGGCTCTTGGAGTTCCCCCCTACCTTCGGGCCCCCTCTCCCTCGGTGCTGAAGGGGTTAAACCCCCTTTAGCCACTTATCTTAGTCTAGCTCAAGGCTTCCTCAGTGCTGGTAACCTTTCCTCCTCCTCCGCCGATATCAGCTCACGAGTCGGCCCGAGGCGCGTGCTTTCAAAGCCGCCTATAGGAAAACATTACTCAATGCTTTCCTATTGGGATCTTTTTTTGAAGCTGGAGATCCGTGAAACTGCTATATTTTCAGCTGCAGGGTTAAAACTAGGGCGATCTGGCACCGAGACCACTTCATTGAGCTAAAGTGGTCTGGGTGCCTATTGTGGTCCTTTAAGTGGAATCCGATTTGTAGCTAATTAAAGGCTGAATGGCAAAGTTGAGGCTAAAATGGTCAAAATTTAACTATAGTCAAGTTGTATAATGTTTCTCAGTTTCAGCTATTGTAGACTACATCATAATTCAGATTTCAGTTTAGACCTCTGTTTGTAAATGCTAAGATATTTGTGAAGCTGTAAGGCTGTGCTTTTGGCTCAACCCCTTTTCAAGATTACAAATGATGGGAGCCTCTGTAAAAACCTAACCAATGTGATA